GTGGGAGAGGGAGAAGCAGGGTTCCCGCGGAGCAGGGAGCCCGATGTGGGGCTCGGTTCCAGGACCCTGGGATCATGACCTGAGCCGAAGGCAGATGCTTAACGACTGAGCCACCCAGGTGCCCCTTTCCCCTTTGATATACATCTTTCTACTGCAGCCTTCATCACAGGATTATAATCGATTCCATGTTGCCCGCCCTCACTAGGCTGTGAAGCTGGTTGGGCAGAGACCACATCTTCCTTGCCTTTTTATCCCCAGGCCCTAGCACTATGCCGGCACAGAGTAAGAGCTCAGTAGATTTTGACATGAACTGTCACACAGGTATAGCTCAAACTTCAGCCCTTAATGTCCGTGCTAATCACAAGGTCTTTTGCCCCTTCTGGATATCTTCTTGAAAAGATCAGACAATAGGAAGTTCTTAAGACTTAAAACTTCAAATTCTAAGCTGACCATTCACATTAGCATATCCACTCAAGATGGTCTAACAACTAATACCTTGCGGTCAAAGTGGGTATGGAATTCACTTATTTCTACATCTCCTCCTACTTTAGATGGTTAGCTGCTAAAGTAAGACCATCTGGGTCAGTTATCCCGTGTAGCCACATGATCAGGATCTTACAGCCAGATACGATTTCAATATATTCAGTATATTCTCAAACCAGTACTTGTATATGGTCATTTCTTTTTTTTTTTAAGATTTTATTTATTTGACTGAGAGATAGAAAGAGCACAAGTAGGCAGAGCGGCAGGCAGAGGGAGAGGGAGAAGCAGGCTTCCCGCCGAGCAGGGAGCCCGATGTGGGGCTCGATCCCAGGACCCCGGGATCATGACCTGAGCCGAAGGCAGACACTTAACGACTGAGCCACCAGGCGCCCCTCTTTTTCTTTCTTTCTTTTTTTTTTTTTAAGATTTTATTTATTTATTTGTCAGAGAGAGAAAGAATGCACAAGCAGGGAGAGAAGCAGGCAGAGGGAGAAGCAAGCTCCCTGCTGAGCAAGAAGGCTGATGCGAAGGCAGATGGTTAACCAACTGAGCCACCCAGGTGCTCCAGAATGGTCATTTCTTTCTCATTTAGGTGCCCAGGTCAAAAAATCTTGGACTCATTCTTGACTCTTCTCCCTCATACCACATCCATCCATCAGCCGATTCTGTTGACTCCATCTTCAAAATATATTTAGAATCTGACCACTCTTCCTCTGCTGTTTTGAATCTACTCTTAAGGCATCACAGGGTCTCACCTGGATTATGGCAACAGCATGCTAATAGGTCTTTCTGTTTCTGCTGTTGTCCCCCCAATAGTCTATTCTCCATACAACAGCCAGAGTGATCCTTCTGTAGGTCTTAAAAAGTCCCACATGATCTGGCTTCCTTCTTTCACTGTGACTTGTCTCTTACTACTGTTCTTCCTTTCATTCACATCAGTCTAGTCACATTGGCTTCTGTGTCATCCCTTGAACACACTAAGCATACTTCTGCCTCAGGGCCTTTGTACTTACTGTTTCCTCTGCCCAGAATGCTCTCACCTCAGCTTTCCTGAGCTTGTTAGGTCTCTGCTGCAATGTCATCTGATCAGTGAGGACTTCCCTAGTCACCCTAAAAAGCAACTACCACTTCCCAACCAATAGCCTATTCCTCTGTCCCCCTTCTCCCGTGCTTTATTTTTGTCCGTCACTACTGTATCTCCAAAGCCAGGAATATTACCTGACACATAGTAGGCATTCCATAAATATTTGTTGAGTGATGTGGATATGAAAACAAGCTGAAAAGTTGATTTTTTAAAAATGCTCTTGAGGGGGGCGCCTGGGTGACTCAGATGGTTGGGCGTCTGCCTTCTGCTCAGGTCGTGGTTCCAGGGTCCTGGGATCGAGCCCCGCGTCGGGCTCCTGGCTCGGCGGGGAGCCTGCTTCTCCCTCTCCCTCTGCCTCCCCACCCACCCATGCTCTCTCTCTCTCTCGGTATCTCTGTGTCTCAAGTGAATAAATAAAATCTTAAAAAAAAAATGCTCTTGAGGGGCACCTGGGTGGCTCAGTCATTAAGCATCTGCCTTCGGCTCAGGTCTTGGTCTCAGGGTCCTGAGATCGAGCCACACATCGGGCTCCCTGCTCCGCGGGAAGCCTGCTTCTCCCTCTCCCACTCCCTCTGCTTGTGTTCCCTTTCTCGCTGTGTCCCTCTCTGTCAAATAAATAAATAAAATCTTTTAAAAAAATGCTTTTGAGTCACTTTTTAATCTTACTCTGACCTGGTGTCCACAGTACAACTCAATCTAGGGCAACTCAGCACTAATTTTCAGGCTTTTTCTCTCTTCCTTAAGACATATGCCCGTATTCATACACACATACACTCAGTCACACCCATTCACTTTGGCTCAGGCAGGAAATCCAGTCTCCCCTAACTCGCACATCATTGCCCCATCCTCACTCTGTTCCAATATCCAACTGTCTTGGGATTGCCCCAAATGTATGACCTCACATCTAAAGAGGGTCCCTTTTCTGGCCCAGCTCTACTCTCACAAGGACCTTCTGACTTTGACTCCATCCGATAGAGCAGCGAATGTGAAGAACCACGTTGTTTCTCTTCCTTCCCCAAATCCTATCCTCCTTCGTTAAACCTCACTCCTGGCAGGGCCCACTCTCCCTCCTACAACTTATACAGGACACTCCAGTGACTCAGAAATTTCTGTTCTTCAGAGTTCATTGGACAGAGAAGGAAGGAAGGAAGGAAGGAAGGAAGGAAGGAAGGAAGGAAGGAAGGAAGAAAAGAAGGGAGGGAGAGAGGAAGGGAGAAAGGGAGGGAAGGAATGGGAGGGAGGGACAGGAAAGGGAAGGGAAGGGAGAAGGGAGACAGACACAAACTCTGGTTGTGGGGGACATAAAAATTACTTGTAAAATTACAT